CAGCCAGGATTTCAGGAAGAGATGAACTTGACTATATTCTAAACCAAGGAGGACTCCTTTGTTCCCAGCATCCTTACTGATTGCCCTTAGCCCTAGGAGTCGTGGAGTTATCCCCCATGTTGCCCCTTCCTTTTTTCTTGCCCATGTTCTGCCCTTTATCCTTCTAATTTCTACAAAGTGCCATTTATTGCCTCCTTTTCTCCTTGCCATGTACTGCTGCTTGGTCCTTATTTGCTGCCTTCCCTTTCTTGCTGAATGCAGAGGGGCTTAGAGCCAAAGCTTTCATTTTCTTGAACGTGCAGTCATGGCGCTTTGGCCAGATGATGAACTATCCTATACGAGTCTCCACTTCCATTTGTATTTTTTTTGTAATGTTTTCCTCCTATCAGTTGTATTCCTCATTATCTTCAACTTGGGGTGGGGGGATTAGATTATTAGAAACACTGATCATATGATGTGATGTCATGACTGGATCACAATCACCTTGCACTAAGCAACCATCTAGCCTTTGTCTGCTAGCATCAAATGCTCTGCCCCATGATTGGATATGTCTGTCTCATTTGAATAAAAGCTATATCTTTCCTCCCAGTAGGGTTGGAGTACTGTTGTAGCCATGATGATCTGGGCAATATGCAAGGATCAAGGTGATTTTAGGGACATTTTTTCTTGGACCAACTGTATAGCTGGGAAAGAATTTCCCACTTCAGTTTCTACTTTTTCTATCATGTTTGTCTCCCAGTCCCAGTCTTTTTGCTTTGTTAGATAAGTTTCTGGGCACCAGGTGCCCTTCTTCTGTGTCCTTGGCTAACATCACTCCCAAATTTTACACCTGGTCCAATAAAAGACACCTCCAAAATTCCCCCCACATTTTTTCTCACTTTCACAGCCTTTGTCATGCACAGAGACACAGAGCCCTTAGTCCCATGCTTGACTTCCTCAAACCCCTCCTCCTCCTGCCCCACCCTTCTCCTTCCTGACCGGGAGTCTCTGCCACCCACCAGAGCCCTCCCTGGAAGGAACCCGAGGAGAATCCCAGTCCTTTGCTGCCTCCCCCAGATCCCGTCAGGCACAGCTCAACTGCTCTGCAGAAACAGGTGTAGGAACAGGGAAATGGCAGGAGGAAATGGGTAGGGAGAAATAGAAGAGGGAGGAAAGGCCCCTGTGGAAGTCAGAGGAGTGGTGGGAGCTCTTGTTGGGTCTGCAGCAATCTGGGCTTGACCTCCAGTGGCTGAGACTTGGAGCAGCCCCTTTGTTTTCAGTGCAGCAGCACCCGAGTCAGAGTGACAGCCAGCTGGACAGACAGACAGAGCTGCAGGGGATCAAAACTCCCCCCCACTAAAGGGCACAACTGGGTATTTTGTCCCTAGTCCAAACATTGTAGAGGGCCTGAACTGGCTGAGATTTGGCAGAGCTCACAACTGGCTTTTCTACCAAACTTACTACCATGTTGTTGAATGCTCGGGCATTGTGGCTTGGGCCTGAATTACAGGCCGTGACTAAAAAGGGTCACAACCCTGAACTCATTAACCATGAGGAAGGGTTGGGGACCATTCAGAGGGGGGCCAAGTTCACCACTTGGCACAAACCCGAGGTGACACCTGTGGGGCAGGAGGGATAGACAGATAATAGAGACGTGGCCCTGGGACCAGAAATAGGAATCAGATCCTCCCTCACCTGTATGAGCTTCAGCCAGAGAGACCTGCCACCATGAAGGTCTGTTCAGGGCTGAGCCTCTGGCCTGGGGTTCTGTAACTGGCCCTGCAGGCTGATGTCAGCCCTCTATGAGGTCACTGCCTCTCTCGCCCAATGCCTGATATCCTACCAACGCATCTCTAGGAGGTCACTGTCTGCCTCACCCTCCCCACCCAGCTGGGCTCATCCCCTACCCATAGCAGCCCCTTCACTGTATAGCCTGGCATATCCTGTATTCCATCCCTGACAGTGCCCAGTGCCAGAGGCTGGAGAGAACAGTACAGGAGAAGCCCATCCTGGACAGTGGGGGGACTAGTCTGGCCAGAGAGGGGACGGTTCTGCCAAAGTCCATATGGGTGCAGTGTGCGTGACAAAACCAAGGGTGGTTATACACGTGCTCCGGGAGTGTGGGCAGCAGTGCTTTAGTTAGAGTAGCTCTGAGAGCTGCTTTAATTAAATTCCTGGATCATCACATGGATCAGTGTCCCTGCACTGAAAAATGGTAGTGGGAACACTTTAACTACAGCTTGTTGAAAAAGCTTTACTTAAAGTGCCCCCTGCTGCCATTTTTCAGTGCAGGGACACTGATACACATGACACTGGAGTCTACTGGAGTGTGGTAATTACCATGCTCCAGCAGACTCAAGTCTGCTCCCACACATTGTAATCACAGTGTGTTGGAGGTGACTGTCAGAACCCATTAGTAGCTGGATGCCTATGGCACAGTGGAATCTCCCGCTGTCAGTCATTCTGAATACTATGGCACAGTGGAAAATTCCGCTAGTGGCAGTAACTAGGTCACGGTGGGAAAATTCCGCTATGTCAGAACCCAATAACTATATGCCACTGTAATGGAAAATTACAGTTTAGAAAAAAGTTCCCGCCAACTTTATGCAAACACGCACACCACCATTGGCCGGTTCCAAATTATTCATATTTGGCGACTAGTGTTTGTTTTCCTAGCCATATAAAAGTTAAAGCAGTTTCCGCCCAAATTGGAGAACTCCGCCTGGCGGACTGATCACCCACCAGTGACTCCCCGTCAACGATCTACCTGACGTA